TTTTCTTTCTTTCTTGGGCTCTAGATTCGATGACAGCAAGGGTCAGGAACACTGATTTAGGAGATCTCACTCAAACTGGCTTAGGTAGGCTCCCATGGTCTCAGGTCCAGTTTTTCTCTGCTCCATGCCGAAGCTTTTATTCTTTTCCTACAAGAAAACACAAACATGCCCTCGACCCCAAATTAGGGTCTTCTCCACTGTTTAGTGCATGGATGTCTCCATTTGACCTGAGCAATGGTTGCTCAAGTTCAATCATGCCAGAATCTGTCTGAAGCTCACTGGCATTCACATTATAAAATTTTTAAATGAGGAGTGTATTATTTGATGAGTCATGTGGGGACTGGGGACATTATTCCCCCTTTTTATTTTCTAAAAATTTTCTTTTTGAACTGTTGAAGCTGAACCATAACAGTAGAAGGATTTGTCTACCCTCCTTGGTTAACTATCTAGGTAAATTGGGATTACTACTTAGATTATTTGTAGATGCCCATTAAAAAGGACATATCCATTAAATATTTCCCAAAAACTTCTGAAAATCACTCAAAGATTGTAAACTATACTGTGTCCAAATAACTTTTGAAAATTATTTGAAGTCTGTGAGCAGTCTTTCCCAATCTAACCTATAGAGCTCTCACTAGCTGACAAGGCCTTATTTGTATCTTAAATTTTTCTGTTAAAACATTAACAGACTGGCTGGATGTTCCTTTTGTCTATATTTCAAGCAATCTAGGTAGCTTCTTAACTATTTTTGAAGGGATTTAAGTATCCTTTTAATCATATAAGCAGTTCACACTCACGCATTCACAATCACATTTCATACATACCGGTGTGGCCACACCATACATTCAGAACATACATGCATCTTTCAGTCATCCTTTTTCCCTAGGTCATGATTAGTCTGTTGCAATGAAGCTACCTTAATTGAAATCTATGTAAAAGAACAACTCCAGCCAATCCTTGAACTAAAAGGTTAAAAAGTCCTGTATGTTCTTTATCATTCCTCCATTTGAGCTACAGTCATGGGGTACAGCTGTACCTACTCCTTGTAACTGTAGATGCAAAGTAGAGAGGCCAAGCTTTTGGCCAAAAGTTTTTAGAGATGACTCACAAAATAGAACTTAAATGTAAACAAAATTTTCCATTCTATATACCTTTGTCTTTTTCTTTTTCTTTACTTAATACCAGTACCTTTTTACTGTTACAAATTTTGTTTCACCCATTTTTTTTAAAATCAGGGTTTCTCTGTATTGTTTGAGGCTGTCAGTCCAGCCTGGCCTCGAACTCACAGAGATACGCCTGCCTCTGCCTCCCCAAGTACTGGGATTAACTGCATGTGCTGCTACCACCTGGCCTGAATTTTCTTGATGAAAATTGGCAGGGCCCAGCTCATTGTGGACAGTGCCACCCGAGCTGGTGGTCTTGGGAGCTGTAAGAAATTGGGCTGAGCAAGTCACAACGAACAAAGGAATAAGCATCAGTCCTCCATTGGCTCTGTATCATATCCTGACTTCCTTCAGGGATGGAGAATGATGTGGAACTCCAAGTGGAAATAATCTCTTCTCTCCGGGTCATGTTTTTATCACAGCAACAGAAACCCTAGCTAAACAAGTACCCTGTAATAACTAAAGCAGTAGCCAGCCTAACACTCCATAGCACCTTCCACTAGACATAACAGAGCCTCCCTTGTGCTCCCAGCTAACGTACTCTGCTGCTCAGAGGCCAACCTGGAATGCTATCAGGGGCAGAGGTTGTTAGACCAGAGATGCTGAGCAGTGAGAAGCAGGGTCTGTCAGGAGTGGGGAGTGTTTGATATGCAATGGGCAGGAGATCTCACCGGGGAGTGCAGGTGTTAAGGAAGCATTAAGTGATAGGTTATCTCTATGGCACTGGGCCATTTGTGGGAAAGCACCTGAGTTTTGAGAAGTGTCTTGAGGCAAGAAATAGAGATTTATAATGACCTAGTCCTCAACAGATTTCTTTCCCTGATGGCTAAAGATTTTGAGCAATTTCTTAAGTGCCTTTTGGCCATTTGAGAGTCCTCTATTGAGAATTCTCTATTTAGATCTGTACTCCATTTTTCAATTGGATTATTTGGTGTTTTGATGACTAGCTTCTTGAGTTCTTTGTATATTTTGGAGATCAGCTCTCTGTCAGATATAGGGTGGTGAAGATCTTTTCCCATTCTGTTGGCCACCATTTTGTTTTGTTGACTATGTCCTTTGCCTTACAGAGCATCACAGTTTCAGGAGGTTCCATTTATTAATTGGTGATTTCAGTATCTGAGCTACTGGGAGCCATTATGGGCTTAATGAGAAACCTGGTACGAGGGAAATCTCCAGAAATCCACAAGGATGACCCCAATTAAGAATCTAAGCAAAGCTGGGTGGTGGTGGCACACGCCTTTAATCCCAGCACTCAGGAGTCAGAGGCAAGCGGATCTCTGTGAGTTAGAGGCCAGGTTGGACCGACAGCCTCCAAAACAATACAGAGAAACCCTGTCTCGTAAAATCAAAAAAAAAATCTAAGCAATAGTGGAGAGGCTACCTTAAATGCCCTTCCCTTATGAGATTGATGACTATACCTTAAATACCATCATAGAGCCTTCATCCAGTAGCTGATGGAAACAGAAGCAGAGATACACAGTTAAGCAGAGATACACTGAGTCCAACTCCTGAAATCCAACTGTAGAGAGGGAGGAAAGATGAACAACGGGGTCAAGACAATGCTGGGGAAACCCACAGAAACAACTGAACTGAGCAAGTGGGAGCTTACAGACCCCAGACTGACAGCTGGAAAACCAGAATAAAACTGAACCAGGTTCCCTGAATGTGGGTGTCAGTTGGGGGCCTTGGGCAGTCTATGGGGCCTCTGGCAGTGGAACCAGTATTTATCGCTAGTGCATGAATGGGCTTTGGGAGCCCATTCCCTATGAAGGGATACTCTCTCAGCTTAGATACACAGAGAACAGCCTAGGTTCTGCTCCAAATGATGTGATGGACTTTGATGATCCCCCATGAGAGGCCTCACTCCCCTTAGGCATGGATGATTGGGGGGATGGGGGATAATGGGAGGATGAAAGGGAGAGGGAACTGGGATTGGTATATAAAATTGTTTTTAGTTTAAATAAAAAAATTAAAAATCAGAATAAAGCTGGAGACCTGTGTATTATAAGATATATGTGCTTTGACCTCTAGGTTAGGTTTTGAAAATTAACAGTATAAACGATAGTCAAAGAGTTGAAAAAAAAAGGAACTTCCTGTCTAGAAACAAGTATTTCACTGTATTGGCTATTTTGTTTTTTTTTTGTTGTTGTTGTTGTTTTTCATCAACTTGACACAAGGATTAGAGTCATCTGGGAAGAGAGGAAGAGAGAACCTCACTAGAGAGGTTGCTCCTGTCAGACTGGTCTATTGCTAAGTCTGTAAGGTCATTTTCTTGACTTATATGTGAAGGCCTAGCCTCTACAGACAGCAAGGCTGGTGGTCCTAGGTACTGAAAAAAAAAAGCCAATCAAGCAAGCCCTGGTAAGCAGTGTTTCTCCATGGTCTCTGCTTCAATTCTTGTCCTGGCTTTCCTCAGTAATGGACTGATTAGGAAATGTAAACCACACCCCCAAATAATTGTATTTCTATTTGAACCTCACCCCTATATGGAGATTAAGTCTTTAATAAAAACATGTTTTGTAGTCAAAGAATACAAATGAATTTTTATTAGATATGTAAAAAGGTATCAGCATTAGATAAAGACTGGTCATGTGGATTACTTCTTCCAAACAGTCTGGGGAAAACCAGGGTGACCCCAGGAACTGAACACAGATGGTCAGCTAGGTTCAGGCCCAACAAAGCCTGGACACCAGGGACATTGTGATTGCACTTAAGGTAGACCTCACAGCACTCCTTTTCCTTCTCAAGAAGGCTGATCTTTAAACTGGGGCTACAGAGATGTGACTCCATCACTTCAACATGTCAGAAGTCTTATTTGAGGGAGTTGGATTAGGAAATAACCCATTGTGAACAATTTCTTTCATGAAAAGAATGTTTTTGGTCAATGATTAAGGATGCCGCATTTTGATTGGATGTCCAAAGATACAGGTATTAATTTTGGCCTCCAGATAGGTGGCACTGAGGGGTGTTGACATTTAAGAGGTCATTAGTCCATGGAGGGTGCACCCCCTCAAGGGGCTATGCGGTATGTCTTTCTGGCTCCAGATGTTGTCACTTGCTGGCACAATTGCCATCAACATACGCCACAGGACCAGATGTGCTCATTTGCTGGCATATACTCCCCACCATCATCCTTACACCATGGGATCATCCAGCCTTTAACTTGAGCTTCCATCTGTAAGTATTTCATATTTGGTATTTCACTATTGTGACAAGGTTAGACATAAGCGGCTTCCTACCCCTCACCCCAATCCTGTGTCTTTGAGGGCCTGAAACACAGGACTCATGTAAGTGTACACCTTCAGGTGTCCTGCAGCTAAGCCCTGTTGAACATAACATGTGTCAGGGATAGACTAAGGGAGTCCTAAAATCCCAGATAGGAAACAAGTTGTAAATTTACATATTCCTGTCCAAGTTGATAAATACCTACATGGGATTGTGAACAGATCTCCGATCTCTAAGAGTAATGACTTAAAACTATTACAAAGTTTCCTTTTAGACTTGAAACATAAGGCAAAGGGCTGGAAAGATGGAGAGATGGCTCAGCCAGGTAAATAATATCTTGCAAGCATGAGAACCTGAGTTCAAGCTTCACATGGTTTGTTTTGTTTTTAAAGGCCAGACCCAGTGGCACACACCATGTTACTGGTACCAGGGAGTCAGAGATAGGCAGATCCCTGTGGCTCACTCACTGGATAACCATTATAGCCTACTTGGCAAGTTCCAACCCCATGAGACCACTTGTCTTCCTCCTTCCAGAGGTGGTGCCAGAGGACCGACTCAAGATTGTCCTCTGGCCTCACCTGTGTATATACACATGAACACATAAGACAAGAGTTCTACCACAGCCTCTTTATTTGCAAGTCCAATCAATGATCCAACCTCATAGTTCTTTCCTTATGCAGGTAACAGATGAAGCCAACAATCACCACTGAACCCACTAATGCAGCCATGGCAGCTACTGTTTTAGAAGCAGTATCCTTGGCAATCTCATGCCTGTTGGGGACCATAGTATCTACAAAGAAAGCAGGTATTCAAATCATGTGGCTGTTCTGAGGCCTTCTACAGATGTTAAGCTTCAGTCACTTGCTCTTGCAAGTTTGCAGGAGGACACAACCTCACCCTCTCTATTGTCATCTTCAATCTCCCCTGCTCCACACACCTCCTCTCCCCACCTGTTATTACCATTTGCCCTCTCCATCTCAAGCCAGATGGACTGATACCTGGAGATTGCCTCAGCCTCTCAGACTGACTTAATATAACGTCTTGATGGGTAGCTATCCCTGGATGTGTGGTATCACAGAAGATTAGCTAGTGATTTAAGATAGCTTAACTTTACATCTGGAGTTGAGGCCCTCTGGATGAGGCTATGGGATGATTATAGGAGAAAAATCTATGATTTCATTTTGGCAGAAGGTAGGGAGATATTCATGCTTTTAACCTACCAATCTGCTAGCAATATACACCAAATTTCTTAGTATGATAAGCCACACTCCTCTTAGATCTAGTGTGGCATAAGAACCCATTATGACATCCAGCACCAGGGTAGAACTGTGAGAACTAACACAATGGGTCATGAACAAGACCATGGCTAAGAGCCCTATGCATCCTACATGGTTCTATCAGAGACTAAAATAAAAACAATTCTATCAATAGGTATCAGTCATGATCTGGCTAGTGTCAAGATTTTCAGGAGAACATACAAGAAGTTCAAGGCTCTGTGAGAAAGGAACTTGTTTTGCTCTTATCATTAAGCATATTAAATTTTTGGCAGGAAAAAAATTAAAGTACCCCAGACTTTAAATCTATACCTTTAAGTGAAGAGTCGTCTGACAGCAAGAGAATGGGTCCTGGGAGGCTAACTGTCATTGTATCTTCTTGGATGGCCTCTGTAGTGGGAGACAGATAGTCAAGGCTATATTTTTGACCTTGGGAGTAGTGTACCAGAAGCATCAATGGAATCCCTAGATGATATTCCTGGAGTATCTTGTGGCATGAATTCCATCTGTCTTGTCATGGATAGATTCCCGAAGGATGGATTCACTGGACTAAATGAGAACCTGTGCACCTTGGGCTCACCACATTGGTAAAAGCCTGGGTGAAGGGGTTTCTTGAGACTAGGTGGAGAGCAAGTTATTATCCTAAAATGTACTCAAGTCTAGAAAATTGAGACTTGCTTTGAGTAGCAAGAAAGGGATTGGATTTTTACCTCGTTTGCTCCTCAATGGTGCAGGGCAAGTCACAGAGCACAGAGGGGAGTCAAGGGACTCTGGGTTGCAGATTAAGGCACTGCAGTGGAAGTAGATCTGGAAGAGGAGGGAGAGAGTCAGGTGGAACCAATGGGCTCACTGTCAACCTGCCCCAGGTGACTTCTTGATCACATACCAGGCTAGAGAGCCCCTGTGCCTCTGACACAAAGGCAAAGGTCTTCACATCAAACCTCTGGTAGTGAGCAGGATGGACCACAGAGGAGCCAGCTGGATGGAAGGTAGTGCGGTAGTTGTCCAGTTCATATTCACAGCTAGGAAAAGGCACCAGGATGGGGGCATCAGTCACAGGAACACACACACACACATGCACATTTGGACAAGGTCAGTCTAATGTAACAACTCTATGCTACAACTATGTCTTCATCCCACCAGTGCCTTTGTTTTCCTTGCATCTTTCTGACTGAACCTAGCAGTCAATATTCATGAAGTCCTATCTATAACACCCATATTGTGCTATATAATGCAATTATGCATTTGTTTACCAAGTGAATTCAGATTTAAGTCGTGACCACTCTCCTATAGTCAGTGTGTGCGTTACTTAATATATCAGCTTACCTATTCCATTAAAATGAGTTTTTGTTATGTCCTAGATAGTAAATATTTACAACAGAAGTAGAGAATTGTTGACATTCTGTTTTACACACTAGCAGGTAATGATGGCATTAAGGAAGGAAACAAAGGTATGAAGAATTACATAGAGGGATAAGGGGGTCAAGGCCAGCCACAGAGAAAGAATACTTGGGCAAATCTCCAAAGGTAGAAAAATGGGCTGTGTGACAGAATGGGGTTATACATCCTTTGAGGCAGTAGTCATCTGGAGTCTAGATGGGGGTTTGAAGCCTTGTGATATATTCCCATAAAGCCAAAAGAGCCAAAGTATAGCTCTTTGCAGGTAAGGAACCCTGGAGGGGATACTTCAGGCAGAGCCAAGAGGACAAATACCTATAGCCAAAAGCACTGTCACATTAGGTTAGAGTGGGAATTCTAATCACAACTCTATCACTTACTGGTAAAGTAGCTCACCTAAAGCAACTCTTAGTAAGACTTGGCTTCCCTCAGGAAGGTCACTAGTGTTCCTCAGGTGATACCATGGGATACCTGACAGCCTGCCATATGGTAGGTGTCCAATAAGTGGACACTAGAATTCTCTCGTGATAAAGATGTAATAGAGGAGACTTTTGGGGGGAGAAGCCCATTCCTTAAGAGTCCAGGGTAATAGAAAAGCAGCACGAGCCACCCCATTAGACCAGACAAGGATTACTTCAGGGAATTCATGACCAATGTCTCCTTTAGGTTCCAGGAGGAGTAGTTTTAATCACTAGTAAGTTTTGATTTTTTTTTGGACAACCCTGTGGTGCAAGGAATACATACCCATCCACGACAATGTGCCACTGTGGGACAGAGGCTGGGTCGCTAGAAGATGTTGCCCAGCAGTCATCTAAGACCAGCTTGATACTGGGGTCATTCCTGTTCAACACAGTCACTTCCATGTAGATTGGCTGGCGGAGGTATCTCACTAGAGGGTACTCATCCTTCCTATAAGGTTGCTGGTAGGATTTGTCTGCAATTGATGAAAACCTCTTCAGGACTGAGGTATAGGCTGGCTGCAACATACATTATGCTGACAGCATTGGGTGGGGGATTTTCCATGAAAACGCACTAAGTGTTTTATTTATGAGCTCAAGTTGTAACACCTCACCTGGGTAGATTTGCAGGACCAACATCAGTGGACCTGGCTTCACAGAGGCCACTGGAGAAAGAAGGCTTTTGATATCGGCATTTAGTGGCACACTGTCTCTGGTGTAATAACACCTCACTGTCATTCTGGAAAATTGTGGGTAGGGACATTTGAAGAATTATGTTAACAAAAATCCCTGTAATTTAAACAAAAGTTTAAAATACCAAGTAGAAATTAAATCACACCTGAATTCACTATCCCTAAATATGATGCTTGGTGGTAGATTTTTCCAGAGAGCATGTATTTCATTCTCGTAGATGACTTTATCACCTTCAAACTTAAAAGTTAAAGTGGGTCAATAAAGTATTTACTTCAAAAGTAAGTCTTCACTCCTTACCATTGGCTGTTACTCACTTTCTGTCCTGTTCCACATCCATTCAGAGGTATATGGAACCGTAGAAGGCCCTGTGACTGAGACTTGAAGATAGGATGACAGGAAGAGTTTCCCACGACAAGGGTCTCCAGGTTCAGAGCAGGTTTTGTTTGGTGGCTGTAGACCTCAAAGTCCATAAAGCCATCCTGTGTACACAGTTTATCTGCAACTGGACAGCAGTAAAGGTTTAGAGAAAATAAACCTACCCTGTGATATGACCTGCCAGCCTTTAAGTCTTAGAGCAATCCAGAAAGCAAGCTTGAGTTGTCTTTAATTCTTTTTGAGCAAACGTTGAAAAAATACCTTGAGTTACAAGAAAAACGTTAAGTTACCAGACCAGTGTCATCACCATACAGACCAGGAGACCAGGAGATGTGGGAAGAAGGATCCATAGGTAACGAGACCACATCCTGATAAATGATTCAAGTGTCTTAAGGATTCAATCTGGGTTGGCTATTAGGTACCAGGCTTCATTGTGTCCCTTTCAAGATTTTTTTTAAAACAGGGACACCCATATAGGAAGTTATATAGTATTAAAAACAATCCAATAGAACTCTGAGACCCAAAACTGTGGGTTCTGAACTCTTGGTAGGGGATACTCAGTCTGGATTCATACATCCCAGGCAATTTGAGAACTGAGAAGGGAGCTTTATTATTGGCCTGACCTGGTCAAGGTGAGGAATAAAAAAAAATTGAGGCTTAGCTAAAGAAGGCACCTACTCAGGATTCCTTTTCAGGGTTCCTAGGAGTCTAAGGAAGCACTTTTAGACTAGAAGCTTGAAGTCTTTGTCCCTGGATGGTGGTGGTGGTGTGATTCTCAAGTCCAACCTAGTATACCTAGGTTAAATCCAACAGTTCCACAATGACCTACCACCCTGCATGAATGTTTGAGAATGGTAGCACACTTGGGTCCCTATCAGAGAATTTAGATGGCCGTTTCTGACATGGCTTATCTTCAGTCTCTTTGACCCACAAGTATGAATCAAAATCTTGGTCTGTTACATCTTCCCACATGCATTACGAAGAGCAAAAAGAAAAGCAAAAACATAATTGATTTAAAAAATCTTACCTATAGAGACTGGTGACTCACAATGGCACTCAGGATCAATCACCAAGGACACCAGGTGTGGCTGAAGGCTAAAGTTCAGCTTGAGTGAGGAGAAGTAGAACTGATAGGGTGGACATTTTTCAGAGGGCTGAAATGAGAGAATGTCAACTAGCCATCTCCCCAAGCAAGAATTCAGACGCTTGCAGAACACACTTCAGACTGATGAGGTTCCTTCTAAGCCATAACAAAATAGCTATCACTTCCTCAGGTCAGGCTGCTTCTCTAGGTAGGAAGTTTATTGCTTTAAACTCACATCCTAAAGTACCCAGGACTTCACACTCTTTGTACTATTAGTCACTAACTCTTAAACTGGCAAATCAAACTGTCAAGTAGTGCTGTCCCTAAACAAGCCCAAGTGATCAAAGGACCCCAGATATTACAAAATGCCATTGTTACACACCCACACAATCTATCCCTAGCAACTGCATCCATCAAGACTAGCCCCAGGGCCGGGCGTTGGTGGCACACGCCTTTAATCCCAGCACTCGGGAGGCAGAGGCAGGTGGATCTCTGTGAGTTCGAGGCCTGGCTGGACCAACAGCCTCCAAAACAATACAGAGAAACCCTGTCTTGTAAAAACAAAAACAAAAAAAAAAGACTAGCCCCAGGATAATAGACCCTTAAACAAAAGGTTTAAACAAAAGGTTCAAGCAAGCAAACAAAAAAGACCAAGTTGCCCCATTATATAACAGAGCATAGCAAGGGTTCATCATTGGATGTCTGATAGGTAGTTTGTACTTGTCAAATGAACTGAGAAAAATATGTAGGAAAGTACCCATAGGCAGGAGTTAAAGAGATGGTATTAGAGAGAACCTTCCTTAAATTTTATATAAAGTGATCAGAGGAGGCCTGGCACCACTTAAATTCATCATTATAGCAAATAGGCTCTATGGGCAAGTCATGAGTCATATCATATCACCCCCAGAGTACTTCAGATGGCTCTTGCAGCATTCAGGAAATAGCAACATACTTTTGTTTTCAGGAGAGTTTTTCTGAAATGCAGTCTCAAGCCATTTGTTGCTTCTTTGTCGATCCCATTGGCATGCCATTGCATCTCGGGGATGCTGCTTTTTCCAAAGTCCACAGACGTTAGCTTCCCAGGAAATTCTGGTATGGTGAGAGTCATGTGTGTAGCATTGCAAGCCACAGAAAGATCTGCAGGCAAATGATTGACGGAATACCTATTATCAGTCTTTGGTTAAGTCCTAAGAACAGGGTTTCTCACTGCTGCAGCTGTGGTTTCTTGGGCCTCACCTGATGCACAGACAGCTTGTGAGGTGAAGGTGACCGTCTGCTCAGGAATTGAGAACAAGAGCTTCAGTTGCACAGTATAGAGATGACTTCTCCCTTGCTGGGGGGAGGGAGGTCAGGAATTTAAAGATATTAGTTTGAGTCTCTAACCAATAAGAGCCAATATGTTCAAGCACTGGGCATCACTTTGGCACAAAAGAGATGTAGGTATTTTATCCAATTGCTGCCAAGTTGCTCTGCTCTTAATCTTGTCTCCTATAATGCTTGGAAGACTATTGCTATCTGTGGGGATGACCTATAGTTGACCCATTTCTAGGAAGACAGCAGTAAGAACTAGCCATATTCGATGACTATCTTACAATGCTGGTCAGGTGCTTATAGAACCCAGAAATCCTGTTATATTCAAGGTGAAATGAAAACTGTCTTTATTAAAATAGCCAATGTTTGAGCACTTACCAGGACAGTTGTGCATGATTTAATCAGTGGGATAAATCCTAAGAAATGCATCAGACACTTGTCCTTGCACAGTAGAACATAGTCACACAAAACCTACTTTTGCCATTATCCATCTAACATGTGATCATATGTGTGAAACCTTTATCCAATGGGCAGAAGAGTTCACATAGCACAACTATAGACATGAGCAAGGCATTGCACTATGTTACTACAACTATTATAAAAAGTCAAATTCAGCTCCACTACAGTCTTATGTGACTGTCATAGGTCCATCATTGACCTAAACATTATACAGAACATTATAACATGTCAATTTAATATCTCACAGATGGCCTGGAAGACAAAGCAAAGAGTGTCACCCAAACAGAATACCTTAACTCTTAATGCTCACAATCCCCCTTCTCTACAATACACTTAGAATGTAGGTTTATAAAAAGGTGGAAGAACATGTACCAAGGCCATTGCATTCCTGTCATCCAATAACGAACTGGTATTAGAATTTACAGATTGTGACAGGTTCTCACTATGTAGTCAAGGCTATCCACAAACTAACAAACCTCCTGCATCAGCATCCCATGTACTAGACCTATAAATATATGCCAATCTGCCCACCTAAATATATGTCTGTAATTGGCAATATAGCCCATTCGAAGACATAATTGAGATCATGCTGAGGCTTAAAAACATTGGCCAGTTCCTTGGTGGTGATATAAAAGGGTTTTCATACTTACCACATAGTGACCGACTCCAGTAGCATTGAATGGGACTTCGAGGGTTATTTTCCGGGTGTCAATCAGAAAATTAAATCCTTGTCTTAAGGCATCCTTCAGGGGCAGTCTGTGGACTCTTGTACCATTGCCAAGATTAACAATCCATCCCGTCTCAGAAGCATTTTTCTAAAGGTCAAAACATGGAGATAATTCCAAGTAGTCCTGTGACCTACATGTGCATGCCAACAGCACACCTACTCATGACTGCATGTGTGCACGAGCACACACACACTAAGCATTGTTTAAGATTGACACTAATATTTTATCATATTAAAGTGACCATGAGCTTTAACATGAATTTAAATATTATATGGTTCATAAGGAATTGCATTTTTGGGGTTGGAAAGATGACTCAGTAAATACTTACCGTGACTCAGTGGATACTTACTGCTCTTCCAGAGGACCCAATTCAGTTCTCAGAATCCATATTACATGATTCACAACTGACTTTTACTCCAGTTACAGGGAAATGACCCCTCTCCTATGTCCAGTAGTCACCCCCACACACACAGTGTACACGTATGCATGCATGTACATGCATGTGTTCTCATGTACACAAACTCACTAAAAATAAACCTACATTCTTACCTGATCATCATCAGCCAACTTAGAGAAAACGTAGGGGAAGGAAAACTGGAAAGAAAAAGATTTAGGAGAAAGTTTCAGAAGCTCTGCCACTTGCTATTTTGCAGAAAACACCCAGAGTGACATAAAAATTAGTCCATGCCATTCTTTCAAGAAGCCTGGCTGCTGCCATGCAGTAGGAGTAGTACATGGCCAGATGTGTCTTCCAATCCTGCCTTTGGATTTTATCCCTTTGGGTTTCCAGTATCAAAAGGCATTAGAAAAGGTAGACTAAATCCAATTACAAGTTGAAATATCAGGTCCTAAAACACACAACCTTTATTATATGCACAGAACCAAGTACAGTATCAAGCCATTGCTGCCATGACAAAAGTACACATATTACTTAGTGATCCATTGTCAACATGAGCCTATTGAGTATAAACACAAACGCAAAGGGGTTGGCTTTCTTAGTTTGGAGACAATGCCTTGAATGTGGTATCAGGCAATCCTATGAGTATCAGTGTGATTGCAGATTTGAGCCTTTTCTATTGCTAGTCACACTGTGCTCAATACTGTTTCTACTCAGTCCTTAGAGCTGCCATATCAGATGACTGTTCTTCCACTTTAGCCTTAGAAACAAAGCCTTAGCATGGTGGGGAAAATGCATCATACAGCAAATATCATAGGAATGAAACTGAGGTCCAACCAGCTACTAAGCCCAGCTATGTCCACAACATCATTCCATTTCCCCTGCTGTAGCCGTATGAGAGGCAGTCATTCTACTTCACTTACAGATACAAAATCCTCCATGCAGACTATGACTTCTGAACGCTCGTGGATCTCCATTTTCTTAAGTGGACAGGAGAAATGATGCACGTCCTCTTCAGTACTATTGTCCTGGACCCTGATGGTCACCTGGTACCCACCAAACTGTGTACAAACATAGCACAAATGAGGAAGTTGCATCTTAGTGGGACAGGCAATTCTAGAAGACTATTAGTCTGACCGTTAGAGTAGAACATATTCAAGTAATACAAGTTCCTGAAGGTAATTTATTCCTTTGCCAGGAGACTATATAGCTGGCCCTTGAGATATTCTTGTAAGACTCACAGGTTGAGAGAGAATTCAAACATTAGGGATAGAGCCTGCTTTTCTGTTACATTTTTATTATGTTCTATTGTCATATGTTGGGAATCATTGTCTAGTCCCAAACACCTATACAGGTTATTCAAAATATACCTACTCTTAAGTAAAAACTCTTGTGCTGGGTGGAGCCATGTTACCTCTGACCTCAGCAACTTTATAAGGCAAGATGACTGCTATCAACTTTTTGTTAAATGTTAGAATAGTATAACTCTTGGAATTTATGTCATTTTAACTTTAAAAACCTTCTTAATTCAAAAATCACATTAAGGCTAGGAGACTAGATTTGGCATTCACAGTTTGCCATTAGCAGACACTGGACCCAGGGGAATGCAATTCTAAACTTCTTGAAGTTGGGAAGGCCTGTATTCATAGGAGGACATCAAGTTGGAAGGGATATGTGATACGGAGCCCTGGGAGAAATTGGAAGGAGTGAGTGAGGGCTGGATATGATAAACACACACTGTATACATGTATGAAACGTCAAAGGATAAATGAACAAGAAAGTTTAAATAGTACAGATTTTCATAAAAGATATGTGATTACTTTCCTGAGCCATCACAGAGGTCTTAGTGGACTAGATGACTGCTCAGAAAGCAGGGTCTATGGATAAACACAAAACTTGCACTGTAGGGCAGATGATGTGACTTGTTAAGCATTCGGGTCCCAGGACTCACCCTACTCCCACATTAACTGGACTCCTTCAACACATCAGAACCCCTAGGTGATTCTTTGCCCTGAAAGCATGAGAACTGCCATGTGGCAGTTATTATTGCACCTAATGACCCTAATTGGGTGATCCTGTTGCATGGCAATAGAGACACCCTTATTGCTTAGCAACTGTTTGCTTTTTAACACCTGTTCTTAAGCTAGTTCTCTATCTGCTATCACCAAAAATAGCCTTCCATCTCACACAGGGGTTGTATTAAAATAGCACCATGCCCAAGCATTTGCTTTGTCTAAGTCATGTGCCCTGCTTTCACCTCTATAGTATCATTTGTCTTTATACCTTGTGGAGATGGTAGCACCTTTACAATTTTCCAATAGGCAAATAGAGGCTTAGCAAGGTTAGGTAGCTTACTTGAAGCCAAACCTGAGACTAGCTCAAGCACTGGGCTTCTTCAACACTGATATTTCAGATCTTTTCACCTCACCTGGGCACTACAAACTATATGACAATATCCTTAACTTCTACCCACATTGGTGCCAGTAGTAGAGTCTATCCCTCTTCAGAATGTTTCTGGGCATGATCAGAAGTATCGGGTATGTAAGTAACCCAATTGAACAAGTCATTCTGATTGGGGACTACTGTTCTATTTCGAAGTAGACTTAGCCATCAAGTTTAATATCAGTAAATGATTAAATTCCTACTCCCTAAATCACTCCTCAAAAGTACTTACTGTTCTTGTAGTACAGTTTTCATAAGGAAATTTCATGAGGAGCTTTTCTGAGTCCAGAGTATAAGTGCAGTTCAAAATTTCAACACCAGAGGTATCTACAGAAGACAGATGACCAAAGAATGCATTCCAATGTCAGAGCCAACGGAAGGTTCTGAGCCAGGACTTCACATCCTCATCTCAAGGCACTTCTATCACTGATGACCCAGTTTGGTGATTGATTTCAACTTTGTGTGCTGTGACTTACACCTAGAGGTTTCCCAGTGGATCCCATATAAGTCATTCTACCAAGAAAAGACAGGTGTTTCCCTCTGGGTGGTATCAGGACCCCCATAGCACCAGGGGAGACTGATGCTAGTTGTTACAGATGCTGAACTTTCATGTTTCCCAAATAGGCTGTCCTGCTTTCTACAAATTGGAATTAAGTTTAAATAGTACAGAGGCTGGAGAGATGCTCAGAGGTTAAATGCAGGGGCTGCACTTCCTAGAAGACCCTGGTTCAATTCCCAACACCCATGTGGCAGCTCACAATGTCTGTAACTCCAGTTCCAGGGGATAAGACACCCTCACACAGACATACATGCACACAAAAAAGTTAAGGAAAATCATTAAAATTATAAGATGATTAAATAGTACATATTACATACCCACCACAGAAGGTTGCCATTTTTCCATGTCAAAACTGCTTGGAAATGCAACTCTCACTTCATTTTCATCACAAGAGACAGTGACTGGAGAACGGATGAAATATTGGAAGACTCTTGAGTTACAGGAGACACTATTCCTACAGGTAAGTGTAGAAGCACCATCTTCCTCAATAGCATGGAGGGATGACTACCCGTTAAGGAAAGGGAGGACACTCTTACCTTCAGGGAGCTCAAAGATTAAGACATACAAATGCAACACAAGACTTCAGGGCTATAATATGTTCCTATTCAATACCCAGGGCTCCAAGGAGAACCCCAACTTAATGTTAACAAGCCAAGACTAGACATCTAGACAGGAAGCTGCCTGCTGTGGGCATGTAACTGCAGGCTGTGGACATAGTAGGTCCCAGGAGCAGAAGCTTGCTCTACAGTCTTCCAAATTAAAGCTTTAAGAAGAAAGTCCTAGGTAAGCCCCAGGGCTTTATTTTTTTTTTTCAAGACCAAACTCTGGCCAACACCTGCCTTTCTGAAGCCTCTGACTCAGGGGAGAGTCTCAAACTTTTTCAGAGAGAGTCCTGGTTGTGTCCAATGCTGGTGATGTAAGCTTAGGGCATAGATGAAGACTATGAAGCATACGGTCCGAGCTAGGCACCAGAAAATGCAGAGCAGCAAGGGGTTGGGAAGTAGCATAGAAGCTGTTTTGAACTCTTGCATCTAGCTGACATAGCAAGCCCACAGACAAGCAGGAGAAATTCCTTAATAGCTTATCTAAAGTAAGAAGGGAGGGAGTGACAAGTCATTAAGCTAGGCACACACCAGAAAAAAATCAGCATTAAGGAGGTTGGGCAGATGGATTGGGACACCGGACTGAGGTCACAGTAGGCTACACAGCAAGTCCCTGCTAGGAAGGATGGGGAGAAAAAAAGAGGGAAGAAAGCTGGAAGAACGTGGTGAACTATTCCATTTGCAGCCTGTTCTCTTCATTAGGAGGGTTCTATCACCCAAGAAACATACCTGGGAAGGAAGGGTGCTTCAACTGAGGAAGACTTAATGAGTTTACTGAAGTCAGAAGGGCAAATAAGAGAGAAATCGACCTGTAGGTGCTAGATAAGAGAAGGGAAGTGTTAAGGAAAAGTGAACTTAAACAAAGTCAATGCATTCCCTACCCTCATTCCCAGAACGACTCACCTCCTGCAGCATGGAGGGCTTACAGACTCTCTCCTCTGCCTCCAAACCATGTTGGAAGCCACCACTAGAGCACGGAGGCTGTGTGCGCTCTCACTGTTATAGCAAGATAGGATGTGATCCCACCCTCTCACCATTGGGGGCAGCTGGATCTCTCAGCCCAGCTGAGGAGGTATTTGGGGAGAAAAGTGCCACCTGCCCTCCCTTACACTTGCCTCCATGCTCTGCTAGCAGCTTCTGCTGGACAAAAGTAAAATCAGGGTTCCGTGAAATTGGCCCTATGTGAGTAAATTGGTGACCCACCCCAGAATTTTGGTTGGGGGGAATTCAGATCTTTTAAGCAAGATATTTACAGTTCCAGTATAGTGAAGGATGTTTAGGTTCATTAAAGAATGACATTTTTTTTCATACCACTAAAGCTTTGCTATAGGTGTTGCATGGGAGAAAGAGACAGTTAAAAAAAAAAGAATAAATTTAAGTAAATAAGGACATTACATCCCCACCTTTGCTCCCAGAATACCCCATTTCCTGACTGTTGTGGAAGCTGGAGGTCACTCGGGTGATGCTCATGAAGTACTTTTAAAAAATGGATTTAAAGAAAAAGGAATGTGAACTCATGTCCATTTACAAAAGTTTAAGCTTACTGAAAAGAATAATCAGTAAATCCTTTATAATTGGAGTGCATCTATGATCTTTTCCAAAGGGCCACAAACTCCATAATATGTAATTTAAACAAAAACAAGACATAGGGATAAAGTTTAAACACTGTTTTGTAGCTTCCTGTTACCATTTACAGCATTCTCGTATCTCACGTAGTCATTTTTTAGGGTTGTATAGCCATGTATAACATATACTCTTTTATATGGTTGTGTCACATACACTCATTCCCATATCACAGTATACTCACTTTTAAGGGTTATAAAGTCAGTATTTAGATAAAGACTTATTTAACTTCCTTATCGATAGACGTTAAGTGGTTTCCAGTTTTCATCATTTTAAACAACATGATAAATGCACTTTTTTGAGACAGTGCCTTGCTATGTAGCCCAGGCTAGCTTAGAATTTTCCTGCCCCCCACCTCCCATATGGTGTGATTATAGGTGTGTGCTACCATACTGTTTAACATGATGGACTAACCCTTAGTATAATTCCTGGCTAACCCTTAGTATAATTCCTAAAAGTGTATCTCATGGGTCAAAGAGTATAGTAATCTAAGAACGGAATATCTTGCAATACTTAGGCATTTACAGGCCAAACAACCTGTCCAAGGTTTGATAATTTAATGTCATTGGAGAATTCAGGTTTCCAGAGACCTGGTTGATGGGTCTTTTTGGCATCTATCACTGCTATTTAAGACATTTAAATATGTTCACCTTATGTTCCCTATCAGGTGAATATAGTGGGCAAACTCTGGGCAAGCATAGTGTGGCATTTGAAATTACTGGTGTATGCATTTCTTTCTTGGTGTGACTTTAAGGGTAATATCTACTAGTCTATCTGACGTGTCAGTGTAGGTTATAATCACATTGTCCCAGTGCCTTTGATAAGAAAAAAATGGGCTTCTCATTAACATCACTCTTGGGGGCCCACCCAATAATCACTGAATCAGATCCTGGTGGGTGGAGGCCAGGTGGTGTGTCTCAACAAATGCCACAGGTACTTATTATAATTTGAAAAATCAGGAAAATACCTGGAGGGAGGTAAGCATGGAAATGAATGGTTGCTGTGGTTAATCTCTGTGTGAGAATGAATTGAGTAGATTGTGTCCTGGTGGGGGAGGTAAGGTGAAGCAAAATGTGAACAATCAGGTTAGACTAGCAGAGATGGGGAAAGGGTTTTGTTTAAGAGCAGGAGCCTGAGAGGAATAGCAACCCAACCCGCCTGAAGGTTTTCCCCAATGTGGCATCTTTCCCACAAATGTCCCACGAAAGTTAATACTGTGATGAGATAACCATAAGAAAGCAATCTGCCTGGGACTCAGCTCTGTGGAGAAGCCCATCAGGGAGGTGAAGGGTCAATCTGTTTCTTCCACCAACCCAGGCTGCCTTCTTTCCCAAGACCTCAGCTATTCTCCGGACGGGGAGGGTTTTGCCTTAGAAAAAGGCTGCACCTGGGAGCTGTAGGAGATGGAGAGAAAGGGCCTACTGTGAAGCTTCTGAGTGTACCGGGAGTAAATTCATCGGCCTCACTTGGCCCAGACAGATGCTGTGCCCACTTGTAACAGACTGTCCTGGGGGCCTCAGGAACCAATGTCCAGGTTTTTGCTCTGGAAAAGCCTTGCCTCCGTGCACAAGGAAGGACGTGTGTTCAGTGCGGCCAGCTCTGGGAGTGAGGGGAGAGCTGTACCATTGTAAGATGATGCTTCTGTAGGTCAGAAAATCTGGTCTTTACAAAACCGATTCCTCATAGTTCACAAAGAAGGGAGGTCTCTTTTAAGTGTGTATTTTCCATTCCTTTAGATGAGGCTTTTAAAAATTGTTATTCACGCCCATGAAGTTTTCTCTGAATGCCCCTGAGTATCTCTTTAGTCACAAGGCATTTTTCCTGAGGGAGTTTTAAGTTGGTCCTATGAAGGTGAGGATGTCTTTAGTTCTACTTTTCTCACACCTGAGCCTTCCTTGTTATAGTTTGTATAGGCAATAGTTTCTAACTCTTAAGTATTGACTCTTCTGTCACACTTTTTTTTGGTTTTGTTTTTTTGAGACAAGGTTTCTCTGTATTTTGGAGGCTGTCTAGAACTCGCTCTGTGGACCAGGCTGGCCTCAAACTCACAGAGATCTGCCTGCCTCTGCCTCCCAAGTGCTGGGATTAAAGGCATGTGCCACCAAACCCCGGCTTCTGTCACACTTTCTACAACCCCTAAATTATTAACTGAAGACAGCTGGAAGGGGACAGTCACTTCAGCTACCAAGAATGATTCTATGAGTTTATCAGAACCATGAAAGATGATGTGCCACATGGAGTGTCAGGGGTACATATTTGGCATGTTTCTCTGGTTTGCTTTTATGAAAGGGAAATAGGAGACCCTTGTTTCATCCTCTATGAGTCTCTGTGGGCACGCAAATACTTGTCGAAAAGTCTAGAAAGGATCTGCCAGAGTAAGCAATGTCACCCAGGGAGGAGACAGTGACAGCACAGGAGTTTGCTTAGGCAGCTCCTGTGGCTTTATGGGGCATTTGCAACTACAGTCAGCTCTGATTCATTTTGTGTTCTCCATTTTCTAGGTTTTGGAGATGGTGCCATTTTTGTTTGTTTTGTTGTTGTCTTGAGACAGGGTCTTGCTGCATGCATCAGGCTGGCAGAAGGACACTGTGTAGCTCAGGCTTAAAATCCTCTTTTCTCAGCCTCCAAGTGATGTTCACAGATGTATGGCCACCACACCTGGCCCTCTTCAGGTTTTAAATATATGTAAATTGTTTCCCTCTGGAGATAGGAAGAGGCACACAGAAGAGTGGTGACTCACACACACACACACACACACACACACACACACACACACACACACACACACACATTTTTTTTCTTTTCAGATGGACTCATTTGCCACTGTCGCTGTCCTCACTTTAAAATCTGGTTTCTATCTAATCAACAGTGCGATGGTTTAATGCTCAAGAGAGTGTCTGTAAACTTGAGGCTTCCAAACAAGTCTAGCTGCCTACCACAAAGCAAAGGCAATGAGTCTGAAGAGGTCTGGTGGTTTGCCTATGGTCATTTACCCATGCCAGCAGCAGAAGGAGCTCCAGGAGAAGCTAGGTTTCCTCTCATTCATTTTTAGTTTCAGTCTCTCTCTCTCTTCTCCACCTCTTTCTCCATTTTCCTCTCTCCCTTTCTCTCTTCACATGAGGGGTGCTTTAAAACTCTGTGCTTTTCTTATAGTTCATGTAGTTTTGAAAGTACAAGATGACATTAATTAAATTTTAACAGCAAAAGATAAATCAAAAATATAGTTATGCTAATACAGATTAAAATAGCTTTCAAATATCAAATATGAATTTAACTTGGAAAATAAGCCAACGTCAGTGAGAATGTTCTCTCACATCCTATGGCAGCTCCCCCAACAGCCTAGTATGGGATGTTAATTCAGGGTCCACGTGGGACCTTGAAGTCTAAGTTTAATCAACCTTCTGACCATGTGGATTCAGAAACAGACAGGACAAAGGTTGCTCACTCTCGAAATTAACTGGAGGGTAGTTTTTATAAGTAGATGCCAGAGAAAGCTTAGTTGTTCATAAGAGCTCAATTATAGGGCCAATGAGATGACTTGGTGTGTAAAGGTGCTTGCAGCCAAGCCTGAAGATCTGAGTTCCATCCCTGGATATGATAGAGGAAAATGAATTCTGCAAATCGTTCTCCCACCACCACACTTGTTCCTTGAAACACCCTGGCATACATCTATGTGTGCGCCTGAATACCCCCTCACATTAAAAAAAAAACCAACCTCATTTATAAACAAAGGTTAACTAAGTCATTTACCTGGACTACACTGTTGTTAGTAGTTGGAGTGATGGTTAACAAAACAATAGAGGGAAGGTTTTCTTAGCAATACAGTTTTCCCTGGGCATCTGTGAGGTATTAGCTCAAGGATCTCCTGCTTATCCCTTTGTATGTTTCCAAAGACATAAAAATCTCAGCTCCTTATATAGTGACTCACATGCAGTTGTATGATATGCAAGTCTCTGTCTTGTGTATATCAGCATCATCTTGTCCCATGGAGGACAAGCATGCCTGTGAGTTGAGTGGGAACGCAGCCAATGGTAACTACAGGAGTTTTCACTCGAATGCATACTATTTGCTGGTGGACCGGCACTTAGGGAAATGCCGACCAGGTGGGACATGATTGCTGTTAGAGTTATTGAGGGGTAACATTCAAAAGTCATCTGAGGCTGCTGCGGAGATGCCTCAGTTGGTAAAGTGCAAGAACCCAAGTTCAATTTTCAGAGCCCAGGTATAAAATCAGGTATGTAGTGCATGCTTGTAACCCTAGTCCTGGGGAGGAGGAGACAGGTGGATCCTGGGGCTCAGTGAGGAGCTGGCCTAGCCTAATCATTGAGTCCCAGGTCTCAGTGAGAGATCCTGTCTCAAAAAAACGAGGTAGATGGCTCCTGAGAAAAGACACCCAAGGTTGATCTCTGGCCTCTGTATGAACACAAACATGTGCCCCGCACCCTCCCATCCCCAAGCCTCCTTGTTGCCAGCACCCAACACAAAACAATAGCCACAAAAGTCTTCTGTCCTAGGAGGTATCACCCTGGCAGAGCACCTGTCTTGGCATCCACCATGGCCTTGGTTCAAATCTCATCACCACCAGAAAAACAAAAGCAACTAATTATGTTGTGGCAAGATGAAGATGGGCCAAAGTGCTTGCCATGAAAGCCTAGTTACCCAAGTTCAGTCCTTAGAACTGTGAAAGGAGAGAACTGACTACTGCAAGGTTTTCTCTGAACTTGAACGTGCACTCAAATGTGCACAATAATAACAAATAACAAAGCAATTTTAAAATGCTTTACATTTTCGTTTACTTATTTTTATGTGGATGGTGTTTTGCCTGCATGTGTGTCTGCGCTCCATGGGCTGGAGGAGGGTGTCAAATCCTCTGGGACTCAAAATACCTACAGTTGTAGCTGCCATGTGGGTGCTGGGAATTAAATCCAGGCCCACCAGGAGAGCACACAGTGCTCTTAAACACTGAGCCATCTTTCCATCCCCTAAATAAAATAGCTTTTAAAAAAGGCTTCTGACTGTGCTACCTGATGCCAGCTAGAATCTGTATACGAAGCTGGCTTGGTGTAAGGCAATAGCTTCCATGTGCTGAGAAATGGTGGCTGTCTCACTGCCCCATCAGAGTGGGATGACAGCCCAGGACAGTGGAGGCTGAAAGAGCCTGGGAGGCCCAGGTGCTTGTTCTTAAGGCTCCACTGACCCAAAGGTCATCACTATGACCTTCAGCTTTTCATCTTAAAGCCGAACACCCAGAGTCTATTAAATGTCTTCAATTTAAGGATTAGTGTTTTGCTTGCATAATAGCTTTAAAATCCTGCACCCTTCAAGCCAAACACACCCACAGGCCATATTTCTACCACCAACCAAGGGCATTTGATTTCCAGCACTATGGAGACCCCGTGGATTGTGGCTTAGCCACTAGCTCATCTAGTTAGCAGCTGCAGCCCTTCCAGGTCCTTTCAGCTTTGCTAAGTTTTGAGTAAGGTGCCTTTAAGCTGGGTTACAAAAGGCAGGCACTTGCCCAATGCCAGCATCGCAGGTGAGACCCAGGTGTGGCTCCATTGTCTGTCAGGTTCTAGTTGTTTTAGGTTTGGGGCTCTCCACTCTTTTCACTGCTTCATGTTCATTTTCCCTTCCTAATGGCTGACTTCAGTCAGGTCTAATACTGGAAGAAGAAAAAACAGTTTTAGTGGCAACTGCTGCAATTGTGTAAACCTAATCCTGAGAATAAATCCCTGATGACCTGTTTTCTCCCAGGACAGCTCTGTTTCTGTGCTGGTGATGCTATGACTGTTTGCAAGCCTATATCACGGGTGTGGAGCCTGAAGACACTCAGAAACATGGTCTCTCCATCTCAATGCTTCTTACTTTCCTTCCTTTGGTTTAAGAAGCTGATTCTTTAAAACGTCTTACACACACACACACACACACACACACACACACACACACACACACATTTACTCTTACATTCAAGTAACAGCAGAGCTCTGTGAAGACCCTTTCAGCAGCTCTATGATCCATCCCTTTCTCTTCTGGTCTCTGGTAAGTTTTGTAGCCATATTTGAGTCACGACCATCTCACACAACAGGTTGAAGAGGAGTAAACATTTCTCAGAAACCACAAGAACTTGTGAATGTAGGAAGAAGCAAAACATTTTTCTGAAGGCCTATAACATATGCATGGGTCTTGTGCTGACACGGACGCCTAAATGATCAAGGTAGGAAACAGAATATGGGCCGCAGGCTCCTTAAGATGAAAACCCCAGGTTGGTAGGTAGCTCACAGAAAGCCAGGATGGGCTGAATGTGCCTCCCCTTGTGAAGTTCATGATGGAGTTATTGTCTCCAACATCTTGGATGCTACTGTGTTTGGAGATACAGTTTTTAAAGGGGTGACTACATTAAACCAAAGTCTACAGAGAGCCCCGAATCCAATGACTGGTGGCCTTGGGAGACAAGGGCATTTGGACCCAGGTATGTACATAGAACACAGAAGGGGAGTATATGAACCAAGAGGAAGGGCACAAAACAGCACCCTCTCTGTTTCAGAAGGAACCAACTCTGTTGACATTGATCTGAGCCTCCGAAATTGTGAGAAAATTATTTTCTGTTGTTAAAACAGCCCCAGTCTCTGGTGCTTTATTATATGAGCCCTAGCAAAATGAACACAAAATCCCAAATGAGAATATAATTCTACAACTGTAAGATACTTATTTATTTATATTTCAAGAAGTATTTAGTTATTGAGAGGAAAACTGCAGAGGAAAGAAAACGCTGTAGCAAATGCTATGGGTTGCGATTTACTTAATGGGGGAGAAGTACTTCTTTTGCTAATTTACACCCAATGAGCACTCACTACACACCCTACAGAGTGCTCATCATTTAAAAACGTTAATTCAGTAATTACTTGCAGTAAACTTGTGAACAACAGCTGGAAAATTCTTCTCATCACCGAGAAGGAAACTGAGACTCCCAGAGAATGTACTCAAATGCATGGTAAAATTCAGTCTGGGTCCTTAGTGACTATCAGATTCTGACTTTTGTCTGTATTCCTGACCACTGCTCCAGCCTGGCTTTATTTTAGTACAATGCTCAGCATAAGCTTGCCTGCCTTCCCCAACCAGCTGTGAGAGCACTGAATGGTTTGGATATTATTTGGTGGTCTGCTAAAGGGTGTAGGAATACCTCTGCTGTGGTAAATTCTGCCATCTTGAACTAATTTGTCTGTTATTATATGTTTTTCTCAATAACCATTGTCCCTGCAGTTTATTTAGAGTTTGGGTTTTGAGTGGGGACTCAGGTCACTTATTTATACAGGTGACTCACTCATGGAAGAATTCTGTTGATCAAAATCTCCAGGTCATAGGGCCAGTGACAAGATGAGGAAGGAGAAAAGTGTGGAGGGAAAAGGGGAGATATGCCCTGCTAACAAAGTCAGCTCATTCATTAGAATTTAAATTCATAGCCCTTGCTTAGACTAGCCAGTATTCAAATTTTAAAGAATTTGTTTTTTGAAGCCTTTATAAAACTCCCCACTGTTACAATGTATGCCATCTGGGATTTGGCATTTATAAAATGTGCTGTTAAGAAATGCCAAGAGATTCCTCATGTAAACCAGATGGTACAATAACAATTCTGTCTTTATTTTTTGTGGCAGAAAAATGGGGCTTCAGTAGCTTGAAACTTATGTGACTAAATTAAGCCCAATCAATACTTCTGGGACATTATAATTTCAATAGGCAACTTACCCACCTAAATATTTTCATCAATGTTTTTATTTGGAGAAGAAAGAACAAAAGTGCAGACAATGTTTCCTCTTGATTGCTCATGTCTGTGTTTTGGAAGGCAATGTTTATAGGAAAAACATCGCCAGTGCCCTTCACTGCATGGGATGTATGTGTTTAGATACCAGGCAAAGATGTTGAAATCTCTTTTGAATAGGGAGTCCCACACCAAATAGTTCAAACAGTTTTATTACTATCCTGCAGAGGAAACCATCCATTATCTGGGCAAGGCATGGGCTGTCTTTTCCCCAAGATTTCTCAGAAGCCAAGTTTGTGTACGAAGCTTCTGGTGATGCCTTCTTTTGCCCTTGTGAGTTCCTGTGGGTTTTCCATGTACAACAGTGCATTTGTTATCCCTTTTAATCACCTTTTTTTGTTACTGTTTTCATTTCCATTAAAATTCATAAGATCCTCATTAGGTGGAATAATCTTGTTAAAAGCTGTGTGCTCCTCCCATCTTCCTTCCTCTTTATTTCACAAGAATGTGCTTCCCACCAAAGCCCATTCTGTAATTAGTCATGAATAGTAATTAATCATGAATAGCCTCAAAGAATAAACTCAGCTTTAGAAACCAGATCCTCTTAGATACAGAGGCCAAACTTGTTACTGAAAATATGTGTTTCCGGGCCACATAGCCCATTTAATTTCTTTCCCAATTAGCAATTGAATAGGCTTTCAAAATAACAAAGATGTTTGATTTACATTTGCTTGCATTGCTTTATCTTATGAATAGATTGGAAGTACCAAATACCACTTGTCTTTGCTTTGTTTGTCTCCCATGCACAAGACACTGGGACTCTGTTTCATGGACAGAAGGCTAGGTAAGTTCTCCATCTGTGTACTGGCTCCTCTTGGCTAGGATTGGACTCCATGGGAGATGGCATACCCGATCATCACAATGCACTGTCACTGTCAGGCAGCGGCTAAAGCATAAGCACAAAGGCAGTTGACAGTGGCCAATGGTTGCTCTGGGGGGGGGTGAGGACAGGGTGCTGAACATAGAACTTTTCCAGGTGTTGTCTGTCAGGGCGTGTATTAGCCTCTTTCTTCTGGTTGTTGGTAAAATGAAATGGTGTCTTTGTAGAAAGTCTTTCAAATAACAGGCCACCTTTCTAGAGTATTAAGGAGACACAAGACACTGGCAGGCAGGGCACTTCCCTGAGGTGAGCTATTCTGGTTGTCAACAGAGTATAAAGGAGTGTGACAGGGTGTGGCTTCAATGGGAAAGTAAAGGGGGCTGTGGCTGAGGTTACTGCTACTCACATCTGATCCTCCACTGTGTGTATAGGAAATATTCTTCTTCAGCTTTCCCAGAGCCCAGGTTCACTGTTGGGGTGAGAAAGATGCTGCAGTTCCAAGATCAGGATTGTGGAAAGTGCCCAGAATCCACAGTTGCTCACTGTTGCAAAGCCAACTAAGAGCTGGTGTTTGCATGATACCAAAGTCTATGGTTTTGGGTTTTTGGGGGTTTTTTTTGTTGTTGTTTTTAAACTAATTTCTGCCCACTTAATTTCCCCACAGAACTTTCTATTTTCTGTTTATTTTATTTCCTCCAGGGAATAAGAAAATACACCAATCACTAGACTATAGTTCTCTTCTTTCGGTCTGCTCATGGTATGTAAAGCCATACTTTGTATTTTGTAAGGGATTGTTCATTCTCATTGTCTTTACTACTGTGAAGTTGTGTCTGGTGGTGTGATTATTAGTGAAGCCTGCAGTTTCATTCCCAAGGAAATGGAGACTGAGCTGGCTCCCTCACCACAGATCTTAGAGCAGCAGGTCTTCTAGCTGAGATCAGTCTTCCTTCTCAGCCTCATCTCGAGGAAAGGGATTGAGATGCAGCTTTGCCTGCAGCAGCAAGTGTTTCTGGTTCTTTTTCTTCCCCACCCAACCTCATAAGGACATTTTCCCAAGGAAATGTCAGAGGGTACCAGGATCTTGATCATTTAAAACAAGAGTTCAGGGCCTAGAGAGATGGTTCAGTGGTTAGGAGCACCAGCTGCTCTTCCAGAGGACCCAGGGTCAGGTCCCAGCACCCATATAGTGACTCACAACTGTCTGTAACTCCAGTTCCAGGGAATCTAGCACCCTTGCCCAGACATACATGCAGGCAAAACACCAATGCACATAAAAATAAATAAATCTTAAAAAAAAAACCATGAGTTCAGATGTTTTACCATTCACAGGTGAGTTTAAGTTTAAGTTGTAAGGGTGTCTAAAGCCAAGCATCTCTCCTACTTCTCCTCACCTTTTCACCTCTCTTCTTTATAATTACTTTGTCCTCCTCCTCTCACTCTTCATCCTCCCTCTCCCCTCTTCCTCCCTTCCCTCCTCTTCCTCTTCATTCTCCTCTTCTTTTGATGGCAATTATTTATTGCGTATGTGTGCATGCACATAATGTGGCATTTATGTTGAGGTCAGAGGACAACTTGAGGGAGTCATTCTTTCCTTCCACCATGTGGGTCCTGGGGATTGAACCCAGACCATCAGGCTTGGTGGCAAGCACCTTTACCATTTCACCAGCCCTCACTCTGTCTTCTTCATCCTCTGCCTCCATTCTCACCTGCATCCTCTTATTTTCCTCTTCCTCTTCATCAGCATCATCTTGTGACAGCCAACTCTTAGAAAATTGACACTTAAGATTGTATCATAAATAATTCCTTTTGAGAAGATTTTCCTCCGGTTATATTTTTTCTATAATGAATGTAACTGTGTCTAAGTTACATAGGCTCTATGAAACTGAGTTGAAAAACAATCTGACCTTTTCTTTTTCCTTTTTTCCCTAAAATATCTAGTATCCCTGTCTCCCCACCCCAGTCTTGCTTTCTGTGCTTAAAACAAAGCTTTTTTTCTTATAACTGAATAGTGCTACCCTTCAGGTAGCTTGTGCATCTTCCGCTGCTGTTCACAAAGAAATGGGAGAAGAGAACAAGTGAATAGTGACTATTCAAGCAATTATTACTGTGAAGAACTTGTAGATGGAAGCTGTGCACTTTTGCAGAGTAGGCAAATAAACACATTCTCGAGGAATAAAGTTTTGAACAAAAAGAGTTAAACAAAATGCACAATTATTGATTTAAAAACCAGACCATCTTCACATCAGTTTAGTGAAGACTATTTTTTTGACAATGTGGGAAAATACAGTGTGTGAAAGATGAGGAAATGATAAATAATACATTTTAAAATAAAAATGCTATAAAAATATACAAGGGAATATATATGCCTAGGTTGCTGCTTGTGTCTTCAGAGATCATGTATTCATAAACTTTTTGTTTGATCAATTTTTATCTTTGTGTGTGTGAGTGTGTGTGTGTGTGTGTGTAAAAATCCAGGCATTTTATTGGATATAGGATTCTATGTGTAATTATTTGATAAAGCTTGGAAATTGCATTCAAATATTTTATATCACCACTAATATTGATTTCCATATTAGAGTATATTAGACATTTCTTTATGGTAATATAATTGTTTTTTTCTTTAAATTCTGCTTAGTTCCCCCTTTCTATTTGGAGGCTGTGTTATTTATTTGTTTATTTAGCTGTGTATGTGCCATACTGTGTGTATGGAGATCAGAGGACAACTTGCAGGAGTTGATTCTCTCCATTCTGTAGATCTTAGGAACCAAATTCAGGTCTTCAGGCTTGGCAGCAAGTGCCTCTCCCTGCTGACCCAAGTCCTTGGTCTTTGTTATTTTTGTGATAAAATGCTATCACCAAGACAAAAAGAAAGAGTTTATTTTGGTCTTACAGTTCTGGGGGCATAGAATTTATGATGACAGATGGCTGAGCAGCAGTTGAGAGTTCACATCTTGAACCACAAACAGGAATCTAATTTGAAATGGGATGAGTCTTTTGAAACCCCAGTACATAATGTCTTCAACAAGGCCACACCTTTTAACCCTCCCCAGAGAGCAACCAAACTATTCCAATACCTGAGACTCGTGAGGTTGTGAGGGACATCTCATTCAAAACATCACATTATGTGTATAAAAGCTCCAAAATGTTATTTTAAATTAAATTTCTCTCATTAGTATTACCTCTCATTATCTGTACAAACTTTTTGGCTTTATTTTTGTCTGATACAAATTTATCTGTAGCATTTTTTAAATTGGTATTTACTTGATATAATTTTTCCTTCCATTCTTTTGACAATTTTATGTCTTAGCTTCGTCTATTAATATAAAACATGGTTGAGTCTTGTAACTGAAGAATTTGAGTCATTTAGATTTAGGTTGATTACAGACAAATTTGCAATTTGGGTGTTATAAAACCCACAAATGTTCTCCTAAACTCTGCTCCAAATACCATCTTATACATTTTGATCTGTTTCCCCTTTTATTCTGTTCCAAATAGTTAACAGAGAACTTATATACAGAACATATAAATGATTTTCACAATCCATTGGCAATAGAACAAAAGAATTAAAACATGGGATAAAGATTTGAATACTAGCTATAAGAATGTTTAAAAGGCACGTGAAAGGTGCTGGTTGGAAAATGCAAATTAAAGCCATAATAATGTCACTTCACACCCACCAAGATGGTCATGAGAAAAAAAAAACAGGCTATAGTAAGAGCTGGCAAGGATGTGAAGAAATTGGAACCTTCATGTGTAATACCATCCTACAATGTGAAATGGTCCAGCCACTTTAGAAAATGGCAATTTTGAGTGTGTGTGTGTGTGTGTGTGTGTGTGTGTGTGTATGTTTTTGCATGTAAGCATGAGCATGCAAGTGTCAGGGCATATGTGTGGAGTCAGTGAACAACTTCAGATGTCAGTCTTTGTTTCTTGCTTGAGGAAGAATCTTATGTTCACATCTGCATACTCCAGGCTGGCGGGTAGCTTCCAGGCATTCTCCTGTTTCTATCACCATCTGGGGGAGTAGGAGCTGGGATTACAAATAGGTGCTTTATGTGAGTTCCGGGGTCTGAAACTCAGATCTTTGTGTTTGTGAAGGAAATGCTTTACCTGCTAGGCCAAATCCCTGTCTCAACACACACACACACACACACACACACACACACACACACACACACACACACTGACATGGTGCATTGCATGTATACAATGATCAAATCATATATCTATGACCTATTTATCATTTCTCTGTGGAACCCTCTCCACTAGCTATTCTGAAATATACAATCCATCAGTCAACCATAGTTATCCTACTGTTCTCACAAATTCTGTTTGATAATTCCTTAAAACTAAATAAGAATTACCATAAAGCCCAGAAATATCATGCCTTGCTATAAACCCAAGAGATGTAAAAATATATGCTTACATAGAGACATGTATATGATAATTTTCATCATTACCAAATGGAAGCAACTTAAATGTCCAACAAGTACAAGTGTTAAATGGATAAAGGATAGTTGAAATTCTAGTATAGTGGAATATTATTGCTCAGCAATAAAAAGAATGAACTTAAAAACATATTCCTTTTAAATAAAGGCCCCCAAAATACATAGTTCAGGATTTCATTGATATGAAATGCTCGCAAATGCTACTTCATATAGAGTAATTCGATCCATAGTCTTAGAGTTAGGAGTAGGAATTCATTGCTAATAAATGCAAAAGATAGCTCTTAAGGTTTTCTTCCCCCCTCCTCTGTTTTTTTAAAATTTAAATTAGGAACAAACTTGTTTCACATGTCAATCCCAGTTCCCTCTCCCTCCTTTCCCTCCCTGCCCCCCACCAGCCCCCTATCCTATCCCCTTTCTGCTCCTCAGGGAGGGTGAAAGGTTTTGTTTTTACATTTAATTGTTGATTAAGAATGTGAGAGTCTGAGTTGGTATGGTTCCAGGATTTTAGGCTCAGGAGGGATGCTTTCAATGTGGAGAAATAGTTATAAAATTGAGTGGTAAGGAGGCAATTGGCCAGTCTGCCAAGACTAGAAAAAGTGAATTTATTAAATATTCTGCAAGTACCCAACAGACAACAGCAGCACCAACAAAAACATCACCTACATACAATAGTGGTGTATGGAAGTGGGCTATGTTGAAGCTGTCTACGGTTAAGGTGACCCAGGCAAGCTCCATCATGCAAATTAGGGCAGTCCAGATTGGTTGATTTTTTTTTTATTATTCCCAGGGCTGGCCACTGGGTTTACTTGGTGCAGCCTGTGGTTAGGGTTGTACTTGGTTTAGATTGGCTTCACTCAGTTACATCATTCTGCAAAAGTGCTGTTTCCTTTTTGTGACATTTTCTAGACCAGGCTTGTGTTGTGGCAGTTCCTGGATGGCGACCTGTTTGTTTTCTGGTCTGTCGTCAGTCTCTCTCCACACTATGGTAAAGGTTTCACAGCAATAAATTTACTGAAATCATTCTGTTTATACTTCAAATGGCTAAGTTTAAAGTTGTACAAAGTCTACCTCTAAATGTCTATGGAAACATTCCTCCTCCCACACTAGCGAACTTAATCAGTTCTGAGTTTATTGAGATTTCTTTCTACATTCTGTGCCTTGGTGACCAGTATCACATCTGACACTTGTTAATGGACACAGTAAAGATTACATGTACTTCACCACATTCCTCATGGACACGACAGGCTTCCATGTTCATTGTCATGACTGGTTCTGAAATGAAAAGTCCAAGTCCAAGGCTGCAGGCCTTCCTGGCTGCATTCCAAGGAGTGAGGCTGGAATGAGCTTTGACCTGGGTGATGTTCCCTGTCATTGATTAACCAGCCCTGTAGGAAGGCTACACCACCAGAACTTCCCAGACAAAGACACTGGCAGGCAGAAAAAAATGTCTACCCGCTATCATCAAGCAGCGAGTGACAGCTACCTGGAACTTCTGAAGGAGGCCACCAAGCGTGATCTGAATCTCTCGGATGATGATGGCATGACACCCACCCTCCTGGCAGCCTACCACGGCAACCTCGAGGCCCTAGAAATAATATGCAGCAGAGGGTGAGTGATCTCTGTCAGGGCAGCCTGGAGGGCTCCACAGTGGCCGCAAGAGTCAGGGAAGTCTGAGTAGACATTTTGCCACTTTCTAGGCTCTCTAAGTAGTTGGCTTTCAGAGAGTGACAAGGCTAAGCTAGGTATGGGTTCTTTCCCTTGTGAGAACAGCCACCTGGGAGTCACTCAGTCAGAGCGTTGGGTGGGTATTGTGTTTGTAATTGGAAATCATTTCCATGGAATTTAAGTGGTTGACCCTTTAAAAAGAGGTCATCATTCTCAGTTCAGTCATCCTCCTTGGTTAGGACATGGCTTTAATTTTACTTTTCAATCGTGTCATTAAAAACTACCTTTTATGAGCCCCCAGTTTGAATGAAATTTCTAGCCTTACAAGTTATAAAAGGGACCTCCAGTCCACCTTTATTAGTTTTCTTTCTGGCCAACACACACACACACACACACACACACACACACACACACACACACACAGGTCGGAGGGAGAGAGACAGACAGACATACAGACACACACATAGATGGATGAGGGGGAGAAGTAAAGAGAGAAACAAACAGACACACACAGGGGGAATCGGGGAGATAAACAGGCCGGCACACACACACACACACACACACACACACACACACACACACACACACACACACACACAGATGGAGGAGGGGAGAAGGAAAAAGAGAAACAGACAGACACACACACAGTGGGGATCAGGCAGAGACAAACAGATAGGCAGACACACACACTCACACATCACTCCTTAAATTTTAATTCAAATCTTGGCTGACTTTTTAATTCTGCTTGTCCTACTCATTATCAGTGGGCTAGCCAGGATTGGTAGCTGTGACTTAACAAAGGGAGAGATGGAACAAGAAATCTGAGGGAGTGAGTTGGGGAAGAAGAGGGAAGGGAAGGAGTAAGGAAGCCAGTGAATGCATTCAGTACAGTGCATAGTTAGCATCTGGTAGGTGATAGTCCTCCCTTACTCCTCCCCCTCTTTTTTTCCTCTTCCCCCTCCTCTGATTCTTCTTCTCCTGCATTTTGGTGCTATCTAGAGATGCTGATCCACAAAACGTCCTGGTTTCTGTTGTGGCGATCAGATGTGAAAGGAAAGCCATGACAAAGCCTGTTCCAGAGAGGGGAAAATCCAGCTTTTATTAAAAAGATAAGGAGATGATCAAGGACCGAAGGAAGCATCTTTCCCCTAGGACAGCACTGTGCATTTCAGGGATGGAAGATGTTGAGTTTGGCTGAATATGACTTAGGCAGGACAAGCCTAAGTGATAAAACCAGACAACAGGAGTCTTGAATCCCATCCCAATGGCCAGAAAACCACACCCTGTAGTTACAAAGGAAGCCATCTGATAGATTTATGCTTACAAATATTGTTCTGGTGGTTGTAAAATGGTCACAGAGAATGTTTAAGGACATTCAAGGTGAACTGAACTAACTTAGTGACAGTAGTATGGGTGGACATAGGGAGATTTGAGTGACAGTTTGGGTGTAGAATAGCTGGTGATTAGATGTGGACAAATAAAGGGAAAGAGGGTCAACACCCATGTTTGGATTAAACAGATTGTAGACATGGACACCTCACTGAGTTGAGGGACGTGTCAGAAAGAGCATGCCCACAGTCTAACCACATCTTCTGAAAACAAGTGAAATCTTTCTTCTCTTGAGTCAATGCCTCAGTTATTTTGTTATAGCAATGATCTTACCCACTTCATTAATTTAATTTATAAGGTAATTAGAAAGTTTACTTCTTAGGTTCTCCCCTGTTGGGTACATATTTTTTTCTAATTTACAGTGTTGTGAGGATTATTTTTTTACATAAATCTTTGTTCATACTTTTTTTAGTGTGAATTCTCAGAACTGAGGTTTTTGAATAACCTGGCATACATCTTAGCCCACTTGTGCTATGATAACAGAATACCTCAGGGAAGGTAATTTCTAGAGGATAGAACTTAGATCTCTAAGAGCAGCACAGAAGTCCAATATCAAGTTGGCAAGTTCAGTGCCTAGAGAGACCCAGTTTCTGTTTCCAAGTTCAGTGCCTAGAGAGACCCAGTCTCTGTTTCCAAGTTCAGTACCTAGAGAGACCCAGTTTCTGTTTCCAAGTTCTATGCTAAGATGGCTCCTTATGGCTGTAGTCTCTGGAGGGGAGAAAGGTGGAGTCCTCACACAGTAGAAGGAGGAGTACACAAACAAATAAAAACTGAAAAAGCAAATTCCCTTCCTTGATAAGGACTCTTTCACACGGTCAAAGGTGGGGTTCCTAGTGAGAATGAAAAGGCCAACACTGAGCAGCCATTGTATTTCTACCTTTGTAAGCTGTGTATCTGTAGCCTCGCCCCACTTTTATAATGGGATCTTCAACATTGATTTATAAAATTGATTTTCAAAGACTGTGGTGTGTGTGTGTGTGTGTGTGTGTGTGTGTGTGTGTGTGTAAAGGGTGAGTGATGTGTCAGCATGCCCCAGTGCACATGTGGAGGTCAGAGGGCAGATTCTTGTGTCAGTCCTCACATTCCACCATGTTTGAGAGTGGGTCTCTTGTTACTCACAGACTTGCTGCCCATGAGCCTCCAAGGGCTCCTGTCCCGCAGTCCATCTTGCCAGAGGAGTGCTGGCATTAGAGATGCCTCTACATCTGACTTTATGTGAATCCTGGGGATCTGAATCTAGGGCATTATGCTTGTGTAACAAGCAGTTTACCCACTGACCCACCTCCACCGCCTTCAAGATGCTTTTTTTTTTTTTTTTTTGGTTTTTACGAGACAGGGTTTCTCTGTATTGTTTCGGAGGCTATCGGTCCAGCCCGGCCTCGAACTCACAGAGATCCACCTGCCTCTGCCTCCCGAGTGCTGGGATTAAAGGCGTGCGCCACCACCGCCCGGCTCAAGATGCTTTTAAAGTTAATAGTATCAACTATTTGTAATAAATATTATACATATGTTTACAGTTCATATTTTAACAATTGATACTTTATAAATAAATATAAAATATGTATATAATATGTTAATATATACTTATTGAATACATGGATATATGATATATAGGTTAAACACATAAATCTGTCAACCACTGCTATATAATTCTAACTTTAATGTCATTCATTCCAAAATATTAGCTGATAAATATGATCTTCTAAATGTTTTCTTTTGTCCATATGCACAAGTGTATTGTTTTCTCTAAAAAGGCAATCATCCAGAGTGTAGTTGTAACATGATAAATAAAAGACCCAGAGACAAATATAGGGGTTCAAGCTTCAAGCTGAAGATCGGAAAAGCAAAGCAGCTGGTCACTAGCTCTTACTCTACCTCAGACTGAAAGGCAATCCTGAGTCCACCAAACCTCAGACTGTAACCTCTCCTCAGTGTGGCTGGAGAATGAATCCCTCATCCTAAGACCCTGTTCCTGACTTAAATATCTCTCATGAGTACTAGGATTAAAGGCATGAGCTTTTCTATTACTCTTTTAGACTGATTCAATCTTGTGTAAGCCTGAGTGGCTTTGAACTCAGAGAGATCCATCTGCCTTTGTCTCCTGAGTCCTGGGATTAAAGGTGTGTGCCACCACTGCCTGACCTCTATAGCTTGTGGCTGACTTTGCTTTCTGAATCCTCAGGCAAACTTTAATAAGTCATCACACATAATGATAAATTACCAATATATCTTAACAATTTGCACTTAAAGGTTGATATGCATACCACTGCTTTTCATGACTACATAATATTCTATTGTATGATTTTATAATTTTTTTAAATTATCAAGTAAAAATTGCATAGCCAGGCACAATGATAGTGCACACCTATATTCCCAGCACCCTGAGTCATAAAGATTATGAGACTGATACCAGCCTGGACTTTATAGCAAGTCCCTGTCTCCAAGACCGTATATGTATTTATGATATACAGTGTGGTATTTTAAATATCTTTGCATTATGGAATGACAGGATCCTGCTAATTATATGATACTTGCACACATCATTTTTGGTGAGGATATTTAAAGTATATCCTCTTAACAATGTTCAAGTATATACATCATTGTTGTTTTAATGTTATCACCACATTGTAGAGTTGAATTGCTTAAACTTTTCCTTCTTTATGGACATTTTTGTATCTTTAGACCTATATCATGATACATATCTCCCTACCCCCAACCACTGTCTCCTCAAGAGAATTCTATAGGTCCCATATAGTTTAGATTCCACATTTAAGTGAAATTGTGCCTAGCTTATTTCACTGAACATAATGTTCTCCAGGCTCATCCATGTTTCCAAGTGCAGAATTTTTTTTCTTTAAGGCAAAGTAATATTTCATTGTGCATATATAGGCATTACATATATTGTTTTCATTCACCAGTGCAGGCAAATTGGTTCTGTAATTTATTCATTTACTTGCCCATTCATAACACTTAATTCCTTCTCTATTTTTGTTTTGCCAGTGGAGAAGGTTGACCTTTTGTCTTGTGGCTGTTATAAGTAGAATTGAAAGTAACTACCTTGTTCATTCAGCTTTGTCCAAGGCCTCACATTTCCTTGGGGTAAATTCTTCAAAGTAGAAGAGTGGATTTTGGGGGTGAGCTGGTATCAGTCTTTTGATATATGTCCCACCAAGCAATCTGAGCCAGATAATGCTTTTCCCAGAATGGTCATCTCCTGTGATCCCACTAAAACCAAATAACTCATAGTTTTCAATCATTTTCTGTTGGACAGGCAAACGCTGGCAATGTATGATTTTTAATTGGCATTTCCTTCACTATTATAAGTCCAAATAATTCCTTCTTATGCAGGAAAAACATTTTTGATGGAAATACTGTTTTCTGAGAACAGCTTTACACATATTCAAAATCAACTTCAAAGGAAGAAATTGGAGAGGAGCAGATGCTTGGAGTGTTGTAATTTAAGCAAATTACCCACTTAGCAACAATAACAAGCTGTTTTAAAAAATATTATTTGATCAAAATTATTGCTTAATAAAAATCGAGGGCAAACTATGTCCCATTTTAAATTGCTTCTCAGAGTTCCTCTTTGGGGGAAAGAATATCAACACTGGGTTGACTCTATCCCAAAGAATCCATAGGTTATTGGCATTAGACTCAGTCCATCAAATAAAGGTGCTGGTTTGTAGATGGCTGGACAAGTATATGTATGGCTCTACTAAGAGTTATGAACCAGAAAATTGGGTTTATCAACATGCACTGAAGTCCCAGGGCTGGAGAGGCAAGGACAGGAGCATTTCTGGGGCTTGCCAGCCAGTCAGTCTAGCTAATTGGTGAGCTCTACTTTCAGTGAGAGACCCTGTTGCAAAAATAGTAAAAATGGAAATGCAATTGTGAAAGACAATCATGCTAACCTTTGCCCCCCACACAGACACAAAGAGAAATATGAGTCAGGCATGGTGGTGCATGCCTGGAATCCCAGAAATCAGGAGATGAGGCAGGAGGATTCAGAGTTGAAAGCCAGCCTTAGTTACATATGAAGCCTCCTTACAAATAGATAGAGGTTGGGGAGAGTAAGACTAGATTTAGAAAGACTTCATGAAGCTTGACAATAATTTTTATATCAATGAGAAAGCTCTTATATCAATTAGATGCTCTTCCTGACAGTTTCATTTGTAAATTTGAAATTTTGCATTTGAAATTATCTCTAAAGAAGATCCACCTCTGCCCCATCTCAGGCTTTCCTCACATTCATTCTCTCAACTTAAAAGCATCACTGAAGAACCACGGAGATGAGAAAATTCACTCCATTCTTCCTGAAGCACACGGGTCTAACCCAAACTCTTAATACCTGGTTACAGCTCACACTGTCCAGTACTTCCTTCTTTAGTTTATCCAATCCAAGGATAATTCAGGCAAATTTAATCAGTGTGTTTTTGTTTATGCCATAGTCACATCTTGGCTGTCTTCCAGCCCTGCTTTGATGTCTAGGATACTTAAGGGGTCCTTTGAATATGGTGTTCAGTTAAGCAAATAAAAAATGAAACCACGTGTTTGGGGATGAGGAACTTTGCTCCCTGAAGATTCGACTGTGCCAAGGCTGGAAGGGGGTCTCCTTTGATCCAAAATAATTAAATTGGGCTAACTGGCTAGGGCCCTCTTAACAGAGGCTGCCCGACCAAACAGCATTATTTAACATTTGCTTTCCTTAGATTCAATTTCATTTTCTTTCCTTCCTTTCCCATTACTTTACCCATAACTCCATGCTGTCTGGTCACACTGATGTACACTCTGGGTTCCCCAAATATGCCATGTGATATCACCCATCCTTGTCTGTGCCCATGCTGTTCTCTGTGTGAAACAGGACTCCAACCTATGGCTGAATCTAATCTACAAATGGGCTTTTCTTGGATTTCACTGTGTTTTTCTTTTAAAATTGAGCCAACATTTAAAATAAATTCCATGGAATTCTGGATTTCAGTCTTCATTTGAAAAGTGGATGTGGTAACACTGTTTCTCTGCATCAGGGCACAGCCAGAGCTGCCCTACTACTGCAGTTTCTAGAAGCTTGAGCATATCTTGGCCTTTGCTGAGAAAATCAATTGTGTGTCTTCTCTGGGCAGATTTTGAAACTTCTGCTAAAGCCACAGGTGATAAAAGGAGAAAAATGCAGGCTTTTCCCTCTTGGGAAAATTAAATGGGCAATAAAGCATAACTCCTTGATAAATAAAATAACCCTATAAATACTTAACTGTAAGAACTAGGCCAGCATGGTGGCTTACACTTGTAACTCTGGTGCTTGGGAAGCTGCAGCAAGAGGATCACCACAAGTTTGAGGCAAGCTTGGACTGCATAGTGAGTTCAGGCCTGTGTGAGGGACAGAGTAAGATGCAGCCCCCAAAACAAACAAACAAATGGCATTTGCAGGTGAGCCTGATGACCTGAGATTGACCCCTGGGTCCCACATGGTGAAAGGAGAGAGCTGACTACTGTAAGTTTCCCTCTGATCTCCATATGCACAGGACACTCATGCCCACACATAGACACACAGAAAACAAACACATTTAATTTTTGAAAATATTTAAAAAATAAAATCCCACAAGAGTGTTGTAGTGGTAGAAATTTACCATAAGGAAAGATAAACATATGAGTATGGATAAAAGAGAAATGATAATAATATATATGGAATGTATATATGCATAGTTTACCAAGTACTGTTCTGTTATATATGTGTTTAAATTCACACAAAAACTCTATCAGAGGCATTATTATTATTCTCAGGATAGAAGACTTGTGGCTGGCTAAGTGGACAAGCTAGGCTATTTTCATAATTATGACACAGATGGTTAAACATGAGACAGACCTGATCCAAGGGATGCTACCTGTTAGCTCCATGGTAGGGCATGTGGCAGGCCCATATGAGGCCCTGGGTTCTACCTTTAGCACTGCAAAACTGAAAATAAAATTGTGCTTCCTGTTACCATTATTCAAAACAATTGCGCCCTCCAAGAGTTTTACTTTACTACTGGATTGGTGATTGGTTCAAAACTGAGGCAACCAGGGGTTTACAGAGAGGATACCCAAGTCTGAGTCATCAGATTATAGGATTCTGGTTGTGCCACATTAATATAGAGAGCCTGTGAATAACCTGAAGATCTTGTCAAGCTCTAGATTCTGATTCAGTAAGTCTGGGTTGGGCTCGACTCTGCATTTTAATAACACCATAGATGATCTGTTGCTGCTGCTGGGGTCACCACCTGCATGTTTGGGTCAAAAAAATTACTCAAAATAGAATCCATATGGTACATGAACATCCTTTGGAAGGGCCTACATCTTTCCTGCTCCTGTTTTAGCTTCCCACCAGCTGTGGTGAGAGCTTTTTCAATCATCACCCTCCTGTTCTTCAGTAAGATCTGTACTTGACTCTCAAGGCCTCATGGGAAACAGAAACCCTTTTGTCTGCTTGATTTTTTTAAAATTTTTGTTTTGTTTTCTATATTTGACTCATGGGAGGGCTGAAATGTTGGCTAGAATCAGGTATCCAAGTTCTCTCAGAATACTGCTAAGTTGTCAGGACAATTGGAAGCCAATTAAACACAGAAATTATTGAAATTATATAAACTTACAATTGAACAAATTTTATTAAAATGTAGTGCTTGAAATTCACCACTTCAGAGTTAGTTCACTATTTTTCTTGTGTGTGTACTCTGAAGTTACAGATGTCAGGAATTGTTACAGTGGAAATAAAATAGCATACTATTGCTTGTCTCTTCCAATCTCTGTATCCAATACAGTGATGTGGTAACATGAAAATTTTCATGGTGGGTAGATTTATACATGCTATCAATCAGGGCTCTGATTATTTTTATTCTATGAATGAGCCCATTGTTAATCATTTACAAGTATACCATTGGATGATATTATTCTTGGCTTCAGGGAAACGTCTAATTGAGCTCAATTAAAATTAGGCATGGTACTATATTTCCTTTCTCTGAGTCATGTGATGTTGTGGGAATCCTGCCTGGGTCCCATTGCTGCTTCAGCCTCCAAATAACACACAAGACACTATATTACTTATGAAGCTATTGACCATTTGCTATGGTTTTTAATCGGCTAGTTCTGACTTAATCATTAATCCACAATCACCAATATATATATTTTTATAAGGACTTATGTTTCCAAGAACAACAGACTTGCATTCTCTCCTCCAGGGATCACATCTTGATGACTCCCTTCACTACATTTCCCATATCCCTCCTAGACTCCTAGTCCCACCTATCTTGCTTTATTTATACCAATTATTATACCAATCAAACATATACATACACAGAAAGACTTCCCCCATCAATGTGACCCAACTTCTTCTTCTTCTTCTTCTTCTTCTTCTTCTTCTTCTTCTTCTTCTTCTTCTTCTTCTTCTTCTTCTTCTCCTTAAAGGGAGGCATAGCATGGGAATGGCTCTCTCTATTTCTGGCCATCTGGTATCTGGCTCTGACATAGCTAAACTTAGCAGCCATCATATGTCAACCTCAAGGTAGGATAAACATGCATTTTGTTGGTTGTTTTTGGTTTTCTTTGTAGACCCCATGTTCAGTGAAAAACATAATTTAACATGTGTTTTCATATTTTCTTCTTCAGTGGGGACCCTGATAAGTGTGACATCTGGGGAAATACTCCTCTACATTATGCAGCCTCCAATGGCCACACCCATTGCATCTCATTCCTGGTCAACTTTGGTGCCAACATCTTTGCCCTAGATAATGACTTAAAGTCTCCACTGGATGCTGCTGCCAGCAGGGAGCAGAAAGAATGTGTTGCTCTCCTGGATAAGGCTGCCACCGTACAGAACACCACAAACCCCAAGAGGGTTGCCCGACTGAAGGAGCAGGCTCTGAGGAATGCCAGGAGGCAGGTGAAAGAGTGTGAACGACTTCAGGAGAAGCACCAAAACAGAATGGCCCGCACCCATAGCAAGGAAGACTCTGGGACTCTTTCTTCTTCCCATGGCACCTTCTCCACATCGTCCCTTTCCAAAGCTTCTGCTGGTGGATTTGGGTCACTATCTAAAGGCATTAAAGATACCTTTAAGATAAAATTTAAGAAGAACAAAGACACAGCAGAGCAGGTGGGGAAGGAAGACAGAAATGGGCAGAGGCATGTAATGGAAGTGTTCAGAGAGGAGGAGGAAGACTCATTCCCAGAGGACTTCAGAGAGAAGCTCCATTTCTCGGCAGAGGAAGCCAGTGACATACAGCACGAGTCTATTCTCAACCGTCCAGGGCTAGGGAGTATTGTTTTTAGGAGGAACCGAGTACTGGACCTTCAGGACATCTCAGATAGCAAGAGAGAGTTGGGCTTTAAAATGCCCAGTGAGTTATTCCAAAGACAAGGAGCAGCCGCTGAAGAGGAAGACGAAGAGGGAGAGGCAAACAATGGTACTGCAAGTGATCTTCCTTGGGACGAAGACGAAATAGAATGGGAGGAGGATGTGGCTGACGCCACTCCCCTGGAAGTGTTCTTGCGGTCTCAGCACCTAGAGGAATTCCTTCCCATCTTCACGAGAGAGCAGATCGATCTAGAAGCTCTGCTGCTTTGCTCTGATGAGGACCTTCAGAATATCCACATGCAGCTGGGCCCCAGAAAGAAAGTCCTTAATGCCATAGACAAAAGGAAGCAGGTGCTTCAACAGCCTGGGCAGCTGGTGGACACCAACCTCTGATGGAGGCCATTGGTTAACAGGGTGACCTGAGCGTGGTGGTCATGCTGAGTTCCCTTGGGAGCATCGCAGGATGCACCCTGTACCTTATCTCTCTATCCAATGACAGAACTCTGGGTATAGGCATTAGGGTTTTAGAGAGGACCCCCAAAACAGAGGCCCAGACTCTAGGAGGTAATCTGTATTGAGTAAACCATAAGTAAAAAACAAAAAATTAGAAGACCCTGGAACCAAAAAATGATATTTCTCTTCATGACTGCATTCTGTGGAAATCAAAGGCTCTCACTGGCCCAACTTACATGGAACTAACCTTTTAACAGATACTTACAAGCAACACGGTTGGGTTTATAAAGTTCCTGTCTAAGAATCAGGGCAGTGTAGCAAGTAGCGGGGGATGGCAGAAGGAAAATGTGGGGTGCCTACTGTGGGATGAATTTCTAAAGTTCATGTGTGGAAGCCCTAACCCCTAAGTGATCCCTCACCTTTAAAGAGGTTATTAAGGTTATGTGAGGTTATAAGGGTGGGCTCTTAATTCCACAATTCCATGTGACTTAAAAGGAAAGGAAGGTACATCAAGGGTGCACTCATACAGGAAGAGCAGGAAGGCAGCTGTCAATCAGTTAATGAGAGCTATACCTGCCCCCCACCCCACCCCCACCCTGCCCCTGCACACACACCTCTGGGGAAAATCAAACTTAACAATAGTTTGGACTTTCAGTCTCCTGAGATGTGAAAAATAAATGTCTGTTGTTTGAGCACTCTGCCTGCAGTGTTTTGTTAATGGCAGCCTGCCAAGTGTGGTGTGTAAACAAGAGGATAGGGAAGGAGAGAGAGCAAGAGAGGAAGAAGGATTCGGGAAAACAATGCCTGTCCCATTTCACAGTCTTTCTAAGGGTTAAGTGCCTGCTGGGATTTAAAAAGGGAGAGAAAAGGTATAGTTTTTAGGCATATTGATGACAAAAGTAAATTTTACACAAACATACTTACTAATCATGCCGACACTTTGTTAGTGTGAATCGGCAGTGCTGCTGTCTGGGTAGGGCGTGTTATAGTCTAGATCTCAGACAAAACCCAAAGACCCGTATGCTAATGGCTTGGTCATCTGCCTGTGGAGCTACTGGGAGGAAGTAGACATTGTCCTCCAGTCAGGGCTGAGTAAAAGGAAGGAAGTTAGGTTATGGAGGCATGCCCTTCAAGTGGGTACTGGGATTTCAAACACTCCCTTTCTTTGCTTTCCAGTCACCTCAAAGAGAACAGGTTTCCTCTGCCACATGCTTCTAATGGAGCACCATGCCACAGATGCAAGGCACTGTGACATAGTAAGGATGGAACAAAGTGTCTGAAGTGATCAATTAAAACAAACCATTCTTTCTTAATTATGAACAAATGTCTATTTCCCCCCTGGATAGAGCACCAGTGATAGACCAAAAAAATTTTTTTACACAAGTCTAGCTCAAAATCATGGAGCTGTTGGAGTCACTTAACAGGAGTATGGGCAACTAAAAGATGACTGTATCAGCAAAAAGCCCACTCAAAGCCATGAGCAATGATTCACAAAGGTGCATCCTGGGGGCTCCCTGCCTTGTTGCAGGCAGCTCCACCAAAGAGAACCTTTTCTGCCCTCAGCTGTTTGCTGCTTTCATAACCTTGGGAGGGGTCTTGTGAGGCTTCTAATTTCCATAAGCTTCCAGAGCCTGGTAAATTCTCTACAGCTTCTGCAGTCTGTTGAGCTTCTTTCCTCTCTCTAAAGGTAATGGTTCAATTCAGAGGAAGTAGTTATACAATAGTCACATTATATAATCTATATGCATTATGTAATGTGTAAATATATGTGTGTGTAATAGCTACACACACATACACATATATTCAAGTTTACTCTTGTTTCTCACTCTTCATTCTCCATCTTTTTAAACTTCTCACAGACCCCTTTCTGCCTTCATCTCTCTCTCTCCCTCTCCCTCTCCCTCTCCCTCTCCTCTCTCTCTCTCTCTCTCTCTCTCTCTCTCTCTCTCTCTCTCTCTCTCTCTCTCTCTCACACACACACACACACACACATCTAGATTGTGCATATGAGAAGAATATATAGGATATTAGTCTTTCTGAGTGAGGCTTATTTTGCTTAACAATCCTTGATTCCTGAAAATATATTAATTTCATTCTTTACAGTTGAATAAAAGTCTGCTGTGTACTGTGCTACATTTTCTTTTTCCATTCATCTGTTGATGGACATCTCTGCTGGTCCCATTTCCTGGCTATTGTGAACAGTGCAGCAATAAATATGGATGTGCAGGTCTGGGTCACATGATATCTCTATTTTCAGTTTTTGGAGTGCTACCACACTGGTTTCCATAGTTTACCTTCCCACCAGCAATGTACACAGTTCCTATCTCTGAACTCTTGCATTTTTAAAAATGCTGATAGTTTTTAAAAGGCAATCTCCAGTTGAAACCATCCCAAACCAATAGCTAAATTTTACTGGAATTTTGTAGCCAGACTACCACGTGGTAGAATTTACCATTAACTGTGTGTGTAATATTAGAAAAGTTATTTGTGCTCAGCTGATTTCCCATTCACATCTGAGTTACTTCAGGAGGCTCCATGTAGGATACAGATGCTCAAAGGTGATGAACTCCCACATTGCTCCCCAGGAATCATGGGTTATTGGATATGTTACATTAGGGGATAGTTGTTTACACACACTGTGCTTTGCTGTGGAATAAACCAAATTGTACTTGTCTTCAATAATGTGTACAAAAGCAGTTAGAAGGAACTCAGAGGCTTTGTGGTCTGAGCCTGCTTCTGTCATATATCATTGTAGATGCCCTCTCGTTCCCTAGAAACTTCCCCAGACACTGTCTTCATATCCTACCCCAATTTACACAGTAAGGAGAGGTCACCAGTCAGATTGGGGGAAGGGGTGAAAGTAAATATGGGACTCCTGATGCTTTTTGTGGATCTACTGGTCATGAGAGACATGTTCTCTTTGTGGGGCCTCGTGGCCTCTTTGTTAAAGAGCCAATGGATTGCTTTTACCATGGATTCACTTAGATTCAAGTGAACCGCAATTTGTGGTTTCTACTGCTCATGACCAAAGAAGCCTCCTTATCTGTATTTCTTTAAACATTTAAAATAGACACACAAAGCTACACAACATGTGATTGGATGTAAATGACATTTCTTGAAGAGGCAAATCTGTGGTAGTAGAAACCAGAGACTGGAAATAAACAGGCAATGATACTGTGAGACACAGGTTTCTTCAAGGGATGGGATCATTCTGGGCTTGGGTGTACAAACCTCACTAAAACCCATTGAACTGTATACCTTAAAATCATAAGCTGTGTTAGAGATGTAGCTTGGCAGAAGTGTGTTTGACTAACTGTGCGAGTATCTGGGTCTGGTTCCCACACACAAAGTTTTATGGTAAATTCTACTCAATTAAAACGGAGAAAATATTATTCCACCTCCTCTAAGTACTGAGTGAGCAGTTGATCCCTTTATTTCCTTTCCATAGGAAGTTATCAAAGACAGACTGAAGAACTGGAAATGCTTTATTTCAGAGACATACAAAGCTAGTGAGATCAAGGGTAGGTAATGATGATATCACCTGTGTAACAGAAGAAATAGTTAACCTGGTTTAGATATCCAACTACAAACATGAGTAGTGATGTCAGCACTTAAAATGAAAATCACTACATTAAACATTTAAAATAGACACACAGGGCCCAGGCTCCCTCATTTACTCTGGGCATTATGAGACAGCCTTTGAGTTCAGTGCACAGCTCCTTCCTCTCACTTGCCAGATGACCAAGAATCATACACTAGCTTGGCTGCCACCAGGTCTTCCACTGCCATCCCTGTAATGGACAGAAATTTGATTCACATTTTTCCAGAACAACTTTGCCCTAGCTGTCTTCTGATACCCTGTGTGAGGACACTACTGACGCCCATAGGGATAACAGTAACTGCTACCCAGAGGTGCAATCAAACTCAGTATACAAAGGGCGGGCCAAGAAAAGAAACATGATGCTAAGCAAGAAACACATTTTATTGTCTCCTAGGTCTAGTTCAGAGGTCAGTAGCATTTCAGTAGAGGCTCAGTGAATAGTTTAATCTCTGTAAGTCATATGGTCTCTGTTACAACGTTTCAGTTCTGCCCTTATAGTGGGAAAGTACCCATTTGTTTGGTAGAGTGTAAACAAGATATCACCACAGTTGATGGACATAAATTGATGTTAGCTATCTTCCTCAACTCAATTGTTCTTCATCTTAGTTGTCTTTTGTTTTGTTCTGAGACAGGGCCTCTCACTGAGCTCACTGATTCACCCAGACTAGCTAGTCAGTGAACCCCGAGGGCGGGGGTCCTTCCTGTTTCAGCCTCTACAATACCAGCATTACAGGCCCATCCACATGCTGCCACACCTGGCACTGTACATGGGCTCCGTGGGTGCCAACTCAGCCCATCCTGCTTGTGTGACAAGCATTCTCCTCTCTAAGCTAAGCCACCTCATATCCCCCAATTTCTCGATCATTCTTATGTACAGGTAGGTGGCAGGGTTGGTCCCACATGCTACATTTTGCTGACCCTGAACCATTACAAAGCCTGTATCTATAGCATCTCCCATTTGTTTTGGAAAGGCTGAATATACCTAATCAAAAAATCTGTGATCTGAAATGTTCTACAGTCTAAAACTCTTTAAGATAATGTTGAAATCAAAACATTTCTCAGTTTGGGATTAATTTTTCATATTGGGTGGAGAGTGGGGGTCAGGGTAGGGCTCAGCTAGTCCACTGTCAAATCTGCAAACACACTCCACAATATAAAACACTCGTGGGCACAAGAATTTCAAAAAAGGCATATTCAACCTGTAATTTTAAGATATGCACAGTATTTGTAGAAAGGCTCAGTATGTATCAGAAGACAGGGTGTGTCAATAAACCAATAACCCAAGGTGGTAATACAAAAAAAATAGATTCCTGCAGTATTTGTCTCTTTAATGAGTGAGGGTAGCTGACCTTCCAGACACAACTGGATCAGTGGGATATCATTGGACCAGGTAGTGGATAAAGTTTACTGCTTTCATTTGTCTTCTAATGATAAAGGAATTAAAGAAAAAGCTTAGCAACCTGTCAAGGCCTGGATACTAGCTGATGGTATAGATTATGGGTGGCCAGAACAACCTTTTATAATATGATAATATTATACCTGTATACAATGTGTTTTGACCAAATCCCCTCTCCTTTTCCTTGTCTCCAATTCCTTCCCCTCTCTCCAGCACTTTATCTTCCAAACTTCCTGCATTTTTTGAAAACTAAATACCCTTAGAACTACTAGTGTGTGCATGGCAGACACTCAAGGGTCACAACCTTAAAGAAAATGGACTCTTCAACCCTGTCTGCAAGAAGTTGCCAATAGCTTCTAAGGTAGGGGTGAGACTTAATGAGTTTTACTCCCCATCCATGCTCTTGGTTGATTTGATCTTGTGCATGACTTGTGCATAGGGTCATAGCACTGTGAGTTCATGTGTGCAATAGTCCTGTCATGTCCAGCAAATCTGTTTCATTGTGGTGACTCCTCTACTGCCCAATAGTCTCTCTCTGTCTGTCTGTCTCTGTCTCTCTCTCTCTCTCTCTGTGTGTGTGTGTTGAGACAGGGTCTCTTCATATCATCCTGGCTGTACTGGAACTTGCTATGCAGTTTAGACTATTCTTGAACTCACAGAAATCTGCCTGCCTCTGCCTCCCTAGTGCTGACATTAAA